GAACCTACTGCCATGCATTTGGAGAGAGGATTCAGTTATAAGGTCTCCAAGATGGATAAGCCATCTAAGTGAACATTTGGAACTAAGGAATGCATAAATCCTGCAATAAAAGACAAGATTTGGAAATCCAAAGTCACCTTCTTTAATTGGAAATTGTGCTCATTCCAAAGAAAGGAGACCCTCCCTCCACCCCAATTATGAAACAAAGCATTGCATCTTTGAACATTGTTGTCAGGTATAAACAGAGGAATCCCACATAAAACATAAACCATTTAAGGTATACTATTAATCTTAAGTTTATTAAACTTATCCCACAAACTCAACTTAAGAGATGACTATCTGTTTATATCTTGCAAAATCTCATTCATCAGCTTAAAGCACCATCCAGTGTGGCTGCCCATAACTTAGAAACACAGAAATTATAGAATAGATTCTGGGCATCCAATGAGAGTGGAAGGAGCTTGAAGGTGAGGATTGCCTTGATAGTCCTCCCACCCTCTGGCTTGCCAGGAGAGCAGCCAGAGGCACTATCAGAATCCCTCAAAAGACAGTGGTGCTCACTCCTCACCCCCCTGCCCCTTAGAATGCTCACCCCAGTGCTGGCTCTGAGATCGGTCTTGTGACCTCAGAGCTGCAGCTAGTATGGGAGAAGAACCATGCAGGCCATGAGGGCAGAGAATGGATGCTTTGAATTCAGCTCCAACCTCAAAACACTTGAAAGGCAGGACTTCATATCATCCTGTGGCCTTCTAGGCAGCATCTAGCAGTCACACAATTGCGCCCTTAGTCATGTTTAGCTTGATCATTGGAGAGGCATTTCTTGGATTAGGTATTTCCAAGTAGGTAATACAATTTGGGTACCATCAGGATTGCCAATAAGCTAATGCATTCTGAGGTACAGTGTCTACAACTATAATCAGTTCAGACACTGATGAATTAATCAAATAGCTGGTCAAATGGCCAGAAGTATTAATTACCTGCCCCAAAGCTGGAGCAGAAGACTGGAGTTTTGAGGTAGAAAGTAAAAGATCATCCACATTAAGAATCATTTTGTGTTCTAAAAGTTCATCTATGAATCCAGCAGTACTACTTTTCTGTCTAATAACATATCCCATGGATTTCAAACATAAACATAAATCAAATATTAGTGGAAAAAGTGGACATCCCTGTCCGGTTCCTCTCCCAAGTAATAATCCAATGCAGATAAATAATTCAGTAAACAAGTAATCCCCCAAATCCAATAAAAATTGGTTACAGTTCTTGGGGTAGAATACCAAATATTGACCCATTTTAAACATTGTGCAGAAAAGCCATAAATTTCCAATGAATGTTGTCAAAGGGATTTTTGACATCCAGAAGGAAAATGGCAGCCAGGCTTGTTCAGTATTTAAAGCGATCAGATTAGGATCATAAGTAAGATGTTCAGCGCCCTCTTCATTTCTAATAAACTCCACCTGGTGGGATCATGCAAGAAGTATAAGAACTTCTTGTAATCTAGCAGCCAAATTGCTGTTAGTATGTTAATGCCTATGTTACTTAATGAAATAGGTTGATAGTAGGCACAGTGTTAGTTTACAAAGCTTAGAAATTACAGTAGTATAAGCATCATTTACTGATGCTGAAAGAAAGCCTCTTTCAAAAATGTAATTATAATGAAGCATAGGGACTAAAAGGCTGCAAAATGTTTTGTACCACTCAACTGGAAACCCATCTGGACCAGGTGACTTTCCAATCTTCATATTCAAAATTGCTTTCATAACTTCCTCAATACTCAGAGGAACCAAGAGAAGCTGCTGTTGTGAGGAATCTAAACCTGGAAAATTAAGCTGAGAAAGTCTTTCTCAACTTCTGTTGAAACATGCATGGAATTTTGCATCGTTAGGGCAGAACTGTATCAACTGACCCTTCAGTGATATGAAGCCGCCAAACTCGGAGACTTCTTATCATCCAAAGCTAGGCAGAAGGAGTGGCTCAGGAGATCTTTGCCTTGTCTCTCTGCACTTCCAGCTTCACTAGACAGCCTTTTGACCCGTTTAGTGACAGCACTTCAGAGGAAGAGAGAAAGAAAATGGAAAGGACTCATGATCATAACTCACCTTGCTTGTCTTCTTCCCCACCCACTGGAATGCTCCCCTTTCCTTCTCTCCAGGGGTGATTTTCTTAGTTCAGAGGCCAGCTGGCACAGCTCTTTCAGTGCTGGCTGTAAAGGGACAGGGGAAAATCACGGATTCTTTTTGAGCTCTGTGTGCGGTCTCTGAACTTGGAACAGGGAATCTCCATTATCCTGTGGTCCCCTCAGACAATGGCTAGGAACCAGAGAATTGTGACCTTAGCATCTAAAGAAGGAATGAACTTTTCTTCACCTGGGAAAATAGTACTATAATGCTGTTCTTGTACATGAACCCAATCATGGGTGGTGGTGGTTTTCTTTTCTGCAAATTACAGTTTCTTTTTTGCCCATCTAAAGGTTTTAGGCTGTCCATTGAATATTGGATTGTTGCATCATATTCTTTATGAACATAAAACTATTTTGAGAACTTTTTATTGACCGGGTTGCATGAGATCAGAAGCGGGGAGAAGACACGGTGACTTATTTCCCCTGGCCTCACATGTCACAGCTTCATGGCAGAGGGCATAATTACATTCCCCCGTGCACCTTATTGTGTTGTACGAACCTGGCAAGGGTGGCTTGTTAACATGGTTAACAAGTGATCCAAACCCACTGGCTGTTTTAGGGTTCTATAGTAGAAATGTTATGTTAATGACATGTTACCCATGTCAACAAGCCACCCTTGCCACATTTGTTCGACATGGCAAGCGGTGCCGGCAAGAGTACTTACACACCCGTCCCCCCAGCATGTGCAGCAAGGGAAATAAGAACACGACGGCTTATTTCTCCTGCCCTGATTTTATGAACAGGGCCATTGGAAAAAAGGTTATCAGTTGCCCAGAAGAAAATTGACTGAGCTGCTTCTGTGTTACTAAGAGCACTTTAATGTGCAGAGGTCAGCAACTAAAGCTTTTCACAGCATGCAGAGTTATTACCAGTTAGTATCTGCACATCAGGTTGCTATTTATATAAATAATGCCACACAGGGGGAAGCCCTTAGGATTTTTAGCCTTTCCTTCCATCCAAAAGTCCCCCAGAGACAATTTGCCATAAACTTACAAAAGTATATTTACATGAGGGCCATTTCTACCCTCTTTGTGACAGGAGCTGTGATGTTTCATCCAAAATCATTGACTACGGCCGTTCTCACCCCCCTTCATCCCATCTCAGTCTGACCACGGGATGTTCTGTTGCCTGGCTGAGTGATTTTTACTGTCTTCCCTGAGGACTGCTAATGCTTTCACCTTTCCAAGGGCAGAAAGGAAGGAGCCACGTGGAGCTGCTGAGCAATGGCAATTTGATATTTTACTGTCTGGCTGCATACGTTTTAACTCCCCACCATGCTTTAAAAAAAAATGTAGATCTTTTCACATTTTTCACACTCCTTTCCAAGGACAAGGGAGGAGATGGCAGGTACAACAGTGTCTCTAACAGGGTCTTGTGAAGTGAAAGAAACATTTCACAGATAAATCCCATGCTTCTTTGCTCAGGAGAAAGAATGGCTGGTTGTACAGTTCATTGTATAGTTTGAGCTGATTTGTAGAGTGGTTAACGCGTGGCCTTCTAGGTGCTTTGACCTAGAATTCCCAGAATCCCTGGCCATAGGCTCTGTTGTGATCCTGAAAGCTTACACATTTTTGTGGTCCTTTGATTGGTCTAATAGAGATATTACATATGGGCCTGTGCATTTTTCCTATGGTCAACTGGGCAACCTTTTCTTTGTGTGTGTATGCCACTCTCAAGAGTTGTAGCCTAAGTAGCTACCTTAAGCTTGCTTACGTGGAAACAAGCACATCTTAGTGGGGCTTTTGTTTCAGAAAACCCTACCTAGAATTGGAAGATATGGCATGCCGGAGGCATGGCAAAAGCTTCTCTTCTTAATCTGCTACCTGATGGGCAGGTGAAAAAGGCATAGGAACATTGCCTTTGATTGCATTCCTGCGCATAGATACTTGGGTAAGCCCCATTCAGCACAGTGCGATTTATTTATTTATTTATTTATTTGGAATTTTTGTATGTCATCCCATTCACATAAGCCTCGGGACGGCTTCCAACATCATAAATAAAACAAACAGATAGCACATATAAAATCTGGATTCATCCTGGCTAAAAATTTTAAAACCAATAAATAATATTAACAATTATTCAAATATTGTTTAAATAGAAAGGTCTTGGCCAGGTGCCGAAAAACAAATAACGACGGCACCAGGCGGACCTCTCTGGGGAGCACATTCCGTAAGTGGGGCACCACCGCAGAGAAAGCCCTCCTCCGGGTAAACACAGCATAGGGCAGAGTAGTGAAGAACCTTTGCCACCTTATTTTTGTGTATAGATTGGGCTATTAGAGGAACCAACATGTGAAATATGCATTGGTTGCCTTTCTTTTCTAAATTCCAGCCTTCCTCCAAGAAACTCGAGGTTCCTTCGTTCACGTAACCCTTTGAGATAGTCTGAGCTGCGTGTTCAAGGTCATCCCCAATGAGGAATGAGTGCAAACTTGTTCCCCCTCCCCTACTACACCAGCCCAGAGATGTGCTAGATTACAACTCCCATCAGCGCCACCCAACCTGCCGGCTCGGGCGATGGAAGAGTGCACCCTCCCCTGACCGGGGGCCCTCCAGATCCATTGGCAAACAGGTCGCATCCTCCCCACCCCCCTGGCGCCCTCCATCCCGCCCCGCCAGCGCCGCTCGTGCCCGCCTGCCTGCCTGCCTGCCGCGGGCGGGCGGCCGCGCTTCCCTCCGCGCCCGGTGCGGAAGGCCGGGGCAGTGGGCGGGGAGGAAGAGCACGCGGTGGGAGGCGCTCCGGCCGCGCCGAGCCGCGCTGGGCCGGCGGCAGTGGAGGCTGCGCGGCGCGCGGCACAGGTCAGTCTCACCCGGAGCTCATCCTCTCACTTGGCCGGGTAAGAGGCGGCTGCCGCCGGCCGACAGCACCCCCCGCCGAGCCCGGCTGTTGCCCGTCTCTTCCTGGAGAGGAGGAAGCGAGGCGGGCCGGCGGGCCATCCACTCTCTCCTTCCAACGAGAGAGGGCGGCTTGTCCTCATGCCAGCAGCTTCCTTCTGCTGGAGACCGCGGAGGGGAAGCGCTTCGGGGTAAGCTCGTGTCTGAACGGGGGCAGGGAAGGGGCGCGGGGGTGGCCGAAAGGGGGGACGCTGCCCCCGGGGCGGATTCCGAAGTTGCCCGCCGCCCCGTCCTCTTCCTGCCGAGGTGGGCTTCTTCGGCGGGTACGGGGATTCTCATTTCAGTAGGGTCCGAGGATCCCGTTCAGGGTGCAGTTTCCCTGCTGATCCCTTCCTTCACAAAGTTTTCTGCCCCGAGCAAAACCCCGTGCCCTCCTCCCAGCACCCGATACGCATACACCCGATGCAACATCGTCTTCAGAGGAGGCAAATACTTGGATGCTCGTGGTTTCTTTCTTTATTTTTATGTTGGTTTCAGTGTAGGATTACAGTGCATGACTATAATGTCAGCCCTGTTGAGTTCAATAGGAATTACTCCCAGATAAGGGCTTTTGTAGAATTGCAGCTTCAAATTAAAGACATGCCCTTTGTCTCCAGGAGTATGAAGAGTCTTCAAGAAGTCTGTGGATTTCAGTTTTTCTTTCTTCAGTTTTCTTTCTGAAGAGTGGAGAGAATGGGATAATTTGCTTTCTCTTGTTTTCCAATAATAATAGTAATAATAATAAATAGGGGACAGAAATTGCTCTTCTTCACATGGTCCCCTTTTTCAGAATTTTTGTTTCTGTGGAAAAGTGATTTTGGTTTGGAAAGAAATATTTTAGTCCCACCAGGATGGTCAATAGCTTCCCCAAAGAAAAGGTGGTACTTGTAGCTTGGTGTGTACACTGTAATAGGATCAATTCACTAGGAAAAGTGCATTGCAGTGAGTCTGAGGGATGAGGGGTCAAGGAAGGAGAGGCTTAGAGAATAATTAATTCTTCAACCTTAAGTCCATCATGTCTTCTTATAAGAAGAGGAGGGTAGAGAAGAGAGAAGTTGAATTTATTTCATATATTATCCCTTCTCTCTCTGGTAGGTAGGTAAAGAAAAATGTCAAAAGAGATTGTGGAAGGTTTGCACCTTCTCCTGTTACAATAGCTATTCCTTCTTGTGCCATCCGTAATCCTGATTGAAGTGGAAACAAACAGCGACTATGATTTTGCTCTCAGCTACAGCTTCATATCAGATGGCATTTGTCTGTTCCTCAAACTATTTTTCAGAAGATTACAGGGCAATTTTTCCTTTACAGCACTGCGTATTGTAATTGAATATGCTGATGTCTTAATATCCCAAAGAAGTACTTACGGATAGATCCATGCGGAAGTGTCTGGATTTAAGCCTATCAGTTGACTTCAGTGGGTATTAACTATGTAGAGTGGCTTAAATCCTAAAATTTCTGCTCAGTACAATTGTGGATTGGGCTGTTTTTTGTGAGGCTGTGGGTGCAGCTAGACCATCAGACATTTTTTACTTTACTGGCAGCACCTTCATGCTTCTTGTGCTTGCAACTCTTTTCTCATCTGCAGCTTTGGGGTGGGTGGGGGAGTATTTTGTTTTTTGCATAATATGAATGTGTGTTTTCTGTTGCAATATGTTTATTGCCGTATTTGTTAAAGATCCATTAAGGAGTTGTTCATGCACTGTACGAACCTGGTTACTTTGGATATAGCATACTGAGAAAAGAAAGGAGGTTTTGAGGAAGAGATATTGTGAGTTGACCAGGGCTGGAATCATGAAGTAACCAAGTCTGACTTTCAGTTACTTATTTCAGAAAATCTTTACACTGTTTTTCTTTAAATCTATATCCCTAGCACAAATTTCATAAGTAAAATTAGAATAAAATGTAAGAAAATCAGTCAGTAATAAAATAGTGAAATAGCTAAGGGCAGTACACAATGGTAATCATCAGGATAATTCTCTGGCCAAACAAATATGTCTTTAATGTTGGTAGAAAGACTTCTGTTTTTTCCTTAAGAAATTAGTAAATGGGTGCACTGATGTAAATGATTAATGGCATGCAGTGGCTGAAATTCACCACAGAAGGTTCCCTGTTGAGCGTATATAATGTTCACCATTGTAACTAAAGTGATACAGTTATTTCTTTCTCCTTTTAAGCACAAGCAAGGCATGAGCTCCATATGAAGCATAACAATCATTGATTCCGAAAGAGCGTATCAAAGCACCATCTACTTGAACAGCAAAAGAAGAATGACAGAACAATTTAACTGACTGTTAAGTTCTGGGACCACAGAAAAGAGCTCAAAATGGCTCAGTGTAAAAACAGTTTTGTCCGTATTCTTGAGGAATGGTGTCTGCAGGAACCACCACTTGGCTGTAAGAAACACCAAAATGTTAAGAAAAAACTGAGACTGATACGAATAATGGGACTTTTCTTGGGTATTATGGCCATGAGCACCTTTTCTCTTTCAATGAGTGCCTTTTCCCAGTTGGAACCTTATAGCAGAGAGACAATCGACAATCTAGATAGCCAAACGTCTAAGCACATGCATCAAAGAACTCTGTTGGACTTCAAGGAACAGAATCAAAGTGGCACTCCAGATTCACCTGTTTCTATGAAATACGAAACTGGAAATAATAACCACACAGAACATAAGGGAGAGTATCCAGAAGATCTCTTTTCTCTTGAGGAAAGAAGGAGGGGTGCTGTGATCCTTCATATCCTTGGAATGGTTTACATGTTCGTAGCCTTAGCCATTGTCTGTGATGAGTTCTTTGTTCCTTCATTGACAGTCATCACAGAAAAACTGGAGATTTCTGATGATGTGGCTGGGGCAACATTCATGGCTGCTGGTGGTTCAGCTCCAGAACTATTTACTTCTTTAATAGGAGTCTTTATATCTCACAGCAATGTTGGCATTGGAACAATAGTTGGATCAGCAGTATTCAATATCCTGTTTGTAATTGGCATGTGTGCTTTATTTTCTAAAGAGATTTTGAACCTTACCTGGTGGCCACTGTTTCGAGATGTGAGCTTTTACATCATGGACTTGATATTGCTAATCATTTTCTTTTTGGATAATTTCATTATGTGGTGGGAAAGTTTAACACTGCTGAGTGCTTATATTGTCTATGTGACCTTCATGAAATTCAATGTGCAAGTAGAAGAAATAGTGAAAAACTTGTTGAGCAAGAACAGCATGGAGAAAGTATCACCAGAACCTGAAGTAAAGGTTAGTGATTTCATCATATATAGAGAAAAATAGCATCATTGTCTTCTAAATCTGTGCTGTGTCTCTGCCAAAATAACCCCTTAGGATGGTCTCTGGATCTATTCCTGGTCTGGACTGTGTTTGCTGGCAACCTCTGTTGTATTTAAATATTTTTATTAGCTCTTCGTTTTGCACGCGAGTTCATCAGTGTGACTAGCAATTGGTCACATTGATTAGCAGATTACTAATGTCTGCACTGCCAACAGAATTCTCGAAACAGAACACCAAAAGCAAGCAAAGCACCAATAGCAGGAATTAGTATAGAACATGTAAAAGCACAAGGTACATTCAGCTACTGCTCAGGTAACAGAAGGGCACTGAAACAGTAACACGGCCTGGTGTCTTGACATCTGGAGCATCATATCATAGAATGCTCCCCCCACCAGAAAGGTGCCACCACTTGCACCCATCTGCTACGCTGCAGACAGTGGTGACATCCAAAGCAGGGCTTCAGATGAAGGCTTAAAAATATAGTTAGATTTGCAGGCAAGGGGGTGGTCCTGTAGATATTTCACTCCCAATAAGGTGCTTTATTAAAGGACAAAGCCTAATGCCTTAGATGTATATTGGGTCTGGAAGTATATTGGGCTGGTCGCTGGCACTGCCAGATATCCAAACTGGTGCCTCTTCCTGAGGATTGTCTGTGCTGATTCTGCAGTTTGTGCAATTCTGGCAGTTGTGTTTTCGAGCTGTCGCAGTGACATAAATTGCAGTGGGAGCTTACAGAGATGGTGTGGCAAAATCGATTCTCCTCTCCCTGTGTATGACTTGGCCTTGCACTTTTTAGTCTAGACATTCTTGTTGGAGGCTTGCTGTAAATGTGAAGGTTCAGCGCAGATTGGTATGCTATAAGTTACAGAGCTGATTCCCTCCTGCATATACCTCAGCCCTTGTTCAAGCCTGGTTAGGGTTCATGGAGTGCCATTGATAGCAAAACGAGATGGTTTTGCCCACAAGCTCATGATTGTACCTGCATGATACTTTGTGTACTGTTACAGCTTTGAATTCCCTGAATTCAGGGACAATTTCATGTGTCCTCATGACCATTTCCTACTGATAGGAAACCCATATAGTATGATACATTATTGCTCACACTGGCAGGATCTGTAATGGCAAATGGAAGACCCTTGCTCTTGTCAACCGTACATATAATATGGCCTGTACCATATAGTTAAGGAATAGGGGATATGCTGTGCAATATCCCTTCATAACTAAGCTGTCTATTATAAATAGCTTTTATTATTTCGCAGCCAGCTTTAACTGTGGTTAGGAGAATATTATTAATTAAAATATTAATTATAATACACCATGATTAAGGGCTAATGATGTATACTCTAATCCTGGTTAATTGCAAACTCTGATCAATGTTCAATATGGTTAAGGATAACAAAAAACTGTGGGCAAATTTACGCCAGGGAGGAGAGGGAGTAGTGGAGCAGCCTATACACCGTGTGGCCCATTACAAACCCTTTTATCATGATTAAGGAATAGCTTGTAAACTTGTAACTTTTGCATCGAACCTCTTTTAATGTGGGGAGTGGAAATTCTAATGCATAGAAGCGATTGTGAAACTACCAAAAGGAAGCAGGGGTAGTTCTGTAGGAAAAGGCATACCTTCCATGCAAAGCTTGAGAATCCCACCAATTTCAGTACAGTGAATAAATTGTGCTTGTATTAGTAATTGAAAGAAGAAATTTTCCTTTAATATAGTGGTGCTTGTACTTTCCTATTTTTAAAAAATGCACAGAGAAAAGATAGGAACAAATACCTTTGACAGTATTATAAAATATAAATTAAAAATAAGATGAAAATGAAATACAAAATAAAAATTAGACACATTTTACAAAATGACTGAGCCCTGCTCCTGCTTTCAAAAGTGTGCCGAATTGATTGGTCTCATGCTGAAATTCTGCAGCCAGGTAAGCACACCATTTATAAAATAAAGGACATTTTGAGAAGAAATTGTGATTAATGGCACGTTGACCCCTTCATAAACAGAGCTTGGTAGGTATCCAAGTTACTTGCACAGCCATAGTTCTATAGCAGTGACAAAAATGTGTGTTGTTTGGTTGTTAGAGGTGTATTACACATACCCCAGGTGTAAAATATGATGACTTCCAGTACTGGAAAAACTTGACCAACCTGTACAGAAATAAGACCTTTTGAAGATGTTGTAAAACACTGGTTAATCAAATAAACATTTATTACACAAGTTGTTCAATAGGAAAACCTTTCACTGGATTGAGTTATCCTCAAATTAGACATCTGATTACTGATAATATTTGGGGCCCATTACAACCCCTTTAGACTTATCTCTTAGAGTGACTAGTGACCTAGGGATTAATATTTTTGGTGTCATTTGAACCATTTCAATCTTTTTTCTCTGATAGTACTACTAAACAGGGTACCTCTTTGCTTCATGTTGCACTGTAGTTTGGATGATCGCTTAAGGTCATCCTGTGGCAAACTGGTGGATGGATGGTCCTTCCGTACGACAGAGTTTTGTACAAGGCAAGACATGCAACAGTACATTGTAATATGCCGTGCACTTGTTCAGGAAGCCGGCCAGCCAGGTTACTCCATTCCATTCCCCCTTCCTTTGCATCTTTCTGTTTTGTTTCCTTTGAATAGCTGGCCATTATTCTGTGGCCTCTGAGCAGGTTCTGTTCTCAATTCCCTCCATCTTAGGGCTTACTTTTTAATGTACTTCTACAAACATGGGCCTCACCCAAGCAATTTTTATACTTCTTCAGTCCGGATGATGCCATTTTGGCCACGTAGGGATCATTGCTTGGAGAATTGAATTCTCTGTATGGTGGCCTCTTGTTTCTTTCTTGTGGTGTTCTATAAAGTGCGTTCACTGTAAAAAAATGCTTCTATAAAATGCTGTATAAAATGCTCTAATCACTTTGCATCTTGTTAGTCATTAAGTGATTAGAGACTTAATGTTCCTTATTGAAATGAAACAGCTTCACAGTACAGTCTTGTGTATATCTACTCAGAAGTGAGCCACATTAAATTTGGTGGGGTTTAATCTCAGGTAAGTGTGTATAGGTTTTCAGCATTAGGGATTTCTGTTGCATCTAGAAAACATGTTTTGAAAATTTGGCTTTCATTCAGAGGGTGGTTTCTTGAAGCTTTGAACAAGAGTCTTCTGTCATCTGTATCAAGCATTAAATGACTAATCCCAAAAGCACATGGACTGTGGCTTCTCAAGAGACAGAGATAAGAAGTGTTGCAGAGGTGGTATATTCTTGGTCTCTGTTGGAGAAGATGCTTCATATTATAGTGCCTTGTTATTGGCTGAATGTTTTGGCTTTTCATCTCAGGGAAATTAAAGTAGTCAAAGGCAATCATTACAGCAGTCTTTTAATCAAAAACCAACAGGATTGGTTTCCAAAGCAAAGTATTTTTCTTTCTTTGTGTGGAATGCTTCATAAGAAAACAGCAAGTTGAGTGTATTTAACTTGGAATTAAAACAAACCTATCTTGCAATAGTTTACAATATTGAAGACTAATTGCTTACATTCCATAATTGCATAATTATCTTGCAATTTACAATACTGAAGACTAATTGCATAAATTCCTACTGTTTCTGTATAACTCTGCTTGCTGATATGCAAAATGAGCTTTAGCATTGTTAAGCTGGAAAGTGTTCAGTTGCTGTCCCCAGTATTTATCTTTAAGACTTTGTGTTGTAAGCTGACAGCAGGTCAAGGGAGTTCTGAGAGACCTAAATAAAGAACCAAAGGACTAAAAGTTATCTTAGCAACAAATCCCCAATCCCAAACACTGAAATGTACACAGTCCCAGTTAAATGAAGAACATTTGGATCTGAACAGTTCTGTGAGGAGAGGAAAGAATGTGTCAACTCTTTTGCACCAAGTCCCTGGTGCATGAGACACTGCTATAAAGGGCCTGAAAGCGGAGAAGTAGTGTGAATTGCATTGTGAATACCCCGGATGGGTTAATCTTTCCCTTGGTGAAATTCAAACATTTCCAATAATTTAACACTTGAATGCCAATTTATGTCAATTCAAAAGTAAGCCAAGTTTAGTGTAACCAAATTTAATCCATGCAAGTGGTTTAGGATTACATCTTAAAAAAAGCAAGTTCATTTCTGTACCTCGTGATCTATTGTGTTCTAAACTAAAACACAAGGTCTTTCATGGCATTCAGATTTGTTTTAACAATTAAATTATTAATTTTCAGAAGAACTTGCCATGTGTTTTACTCTTACCAAGTATAAATCTTAAGAAATTGTCTAGAAATCTTCAAAGGAGAAGAGTTAGGCACAACTAGTGCTAAAGCAAAAGCAACTTGGAAGGCAACTAGTTAAATTTACAAATTGTAAGAAAGTAGAACAACTTTAATAATGGAAATCTAATGATTTCCAGTATTTCCAACTGGCAAACTTGGCATGTCCACAGATAGGGTGTTGCCAAAAATTCTAAGCTCACCACCATGTTCTGAGCACAAGGCTTGACAATCGAAGCCAAATGTGGGTGGCAGAATAAAATAGTTATAAAATGGCATCATTTTTGCTAATATATTCTTGAAAAACAAGTTATGCAATAGTTATTTGAATTTTTTTTTCAAACAGTTGTGGAAGCTTGCCTTTGGAAGAACATAATCTAGCAGTAATATATCTTGAACTGCCCTTGTGTATTAAGCATGTTTTTGGAGTGAGAAAGTATGTCAAAAATGTATTTTGAGAAATATGATTTTAGTGGTAAAGAGAGAAAAAGTAATGCCAAAGTTGTGATATCAACTTGGTTTACACATAATGCCGATTCATGATTTATTTGATCCAAGGGTTCAAATTCAGAGTTGTTATGATATGCCAACCCTTAACTGTGAACAATCTAAAAAGATAACCCATCGTTTGCTGATGGATTGTGAACCCTAGTTTGTTTAAACCATGGGCTGCATACACAAACTGGTTTATGTAATACGTCAAG